GATGAACTCCCAATAGCAGCTGGGGAGTTCGTCTAGGTGGATGAAGTCGCAAGGCGTATTACGTACCCAAGTTGTAGACGAGAGCTAACGGCCATACAAAAAATAAAAAGGGAAGATTTTCTTGCCGACGTCAAAAGGAGGGATAGGTCTTCTTTGAAGAGACGATGAAAATCGAAAGGGATAGAGTAAGATTTTTAAATAGAAAACTTAGGGTGGAGGGGCCGGTTGCAGCTTCACCTCACTGGGCACATTGTCGCTGCCTTCGCCGTGCTAAAGGAGTGCTCCCGGAGACAGCTCACTCACGCCCACAGAATTGCGCTGGAGACTTTTCGAGCACCGCCAGCCATTGGAGGATGAGATATGTCCGAGGCAGAATCCCCGTTGCCCCACAGATGAGCCCGTCGCCGTCTTTGGCTGCTTCGTTTCTCCATGTTCTCTGAAACTTCCTGGGCCCAGGGCAGTGTTGCTTCTCTCACAGCGAGCCACAAGGCTGTCACATTTGGCAGGAAACTTTGTGGGGGAGGCGGCTTACGCTGGTGAGTGGCTTGCTTGGTCGCGACTCCTGCGGCAGCCCGCATCCTGTCCTGTACAGTGTTACACAGTACATTCCAGGCTAGAGGCTTGCTCCAGCAGGCAACTTTGAAAAAAAAAATTTAGCGGCAGCCAGTGAAATAGGATATAACGAAGGCCAGAACTTTGGTGCTTGAGAAGCTCACAATCACTCAATGATTTACGAAGGCTGCCTGTTGCAATGTCTTTGCCAGAGCAAGGCATCGTATTCCCCTCTGCAGTAGCTTCGCATGGAGCTGAGACAGCTCATCAACTGTCTATCTATCGGTCTCTCTACCTCATCTAAACCCAGGACTTGCATACAAGATCTCTGCACGGGATCTCTGAGATGGTCGTCTTTTGTAAATGTTCAACCTCCTTCGTTGTGTTTTGCTCAAGACGCCGTGCGGGGGTGGTAGCGCGATATGATCGCCAAGCAACGGCAGCACCAGTCATCCCGAGATAGAAGGCAAGAATAGGCTTCAACTTGCCTGTTCCTCTTGGTCTCTCTGGGGTGTCCCCCTGTAGCTTCGGCGGTTTAGTTAGTTAGTAGTTAGTGACTTGATATGCGCGGTCCGGCAGTTGGGGGGCTGGATGCGTCGTGGCTGTGGTGGCTGTGTCAGACCAGACACGGACGACACGCCTCCTGTATGGTACGGTTATGTACCTTGGTACTAGTATGCTATAAAATATTACAGCCTGGCCAACGTTGGAATTCCTCCCCTCCCTCCCGCATACAAAACAAGGAGAGAAAAGGGAGGAGCAGCCCCGTCGACGAAGAGTATTTTTTGCTCGTAATTATATCTATCTCCGCCGTGCGGATTCCCGACTCTCCCAACTCCCAACGCGCATCTCCTGTGAGTCGCAAATGCAATCTAGGCTATTTCCACCCCCACGCCGCCAAACCGACGATGTATGTAACGAACCAGCCTGGATCCTTTACGGATTCCATCAGGGTTGCCCTTTGACCCGACGGAACGTAGAATCC